AAAAAAAAAAAAAAAAAAAAAAAAAAGAATCTCCAAAAATAATTCACTGAAGGCGAGCACAGCCTGTCACAGTGTTAGCTGATACAATGATACTGATGGGTCCCTAGAACACTTACCTAGTGGGGGAAGCCTGTACTATGAGAGGCCTGCCCTTCAAAACATAATTCTGGTTTTTTGGGGGGATCCCCCTCATGTATACATTTGGGGTTACCTTGGAGAGCAAAACCCAGACATCAAGGAGTGGTCCCTGGTCTTTTTAACCTGAGATTGGAAGCAAGAATGGGCTAGAGGTGTAGCCATGGGCATTGGAAACCACCTGCCTCCCTTCTCTGACTCAGCCTACAAATTCTATGAGAGCAGGGACCCCATATAGGTGCTCAGCCCTCCCTCACTAAAGCTTCTTTAAAGGCCATGCAATGGAAGGACATCAGACCTGGCTTCAAATCCCGGCTTTGCCAGGCCCTCACTGTGTGGCTTTAGACAAGTCTCTTAACCTCTCTGTGCTTGTGGTTTCTCGGTTGAATGGCTGCTGTAAGGCCTGACAGTGAGGTGCCCAGCTCAGTGCCTGGTTCAGTCAGAACAAATGAATTATAACCAGAGGTGGAGATGGAGCCCACAGCAGAAGCCCAACTCACATCTGTCTGGCTTCAAAGCCCCAGACTTTTTTCTCCCTGTTGCAAACACTAGCTCTCAAATTACCCCCCAACTCCCATATTTAGCTAATCACAGGCCCTCACGGTTGCTTGTCTGCCCTGAGATCTGCGGGCGGGTAAGTCATGGTCCCTGCTTCCCACGTTCGCCTGATGAGTTTGTTTTCTGTGCCATCTGCAGGCATATGCAACAGGCCCCAACCAGGCTTGTGGGAGATGGAATCAGAGGGCGCTGCGCCATGCCTGAACCCAGAGTCTCCCCCAGGGCCAGTTGCCTTGGAGACAAGGCCCGAGGGATATGAGCTGCTGGACCACCTGCCTCTCAGCATCCTGCCCTGGGATGACGGCATCCTGGAGACCCTCTCGCCCAAGCTCGCTACAGGTATGGACTCCTCAGGGGCCAGGCACAGGCAGTGTGTCTCCTGGAATGCATGAGAGAGTGAACGGCTTCTTTCGTGGAGTGGAGGAAGGCATCGCACCATGTGGGAGGCGATGGGGGGCCACTAGGACCGGTTGAGAATATCGCCTTCACCCAAACTGCCTCCCCTGATCCAGGAAAACGAACTCCAGCTGAGCCTGTGGGTTTGCCCATCCAGGCTCCCACCACAGCCAGCTCGTCCTCATACCTTTCCGACCCTATCTCTCTGATGCGGCTCCTGAACCCGTCAATGCTGGGTTGCATGGACTCCAGAGACCGAGGTCTTGCTTCTGGGACTCAGCCTATTGCTCAGAAAGCCTTTCTGGCCACTGCTCTCCACCTGCGTCTGAAGGCCGCCTTCCTCAAGGCCTCTCCTAGTTTCTCCCTTTCCCCACACCCAGTTTTGAACCTCCATTGAATGGTGCTGTCTTTTTTGATGTCATCAGATAGTGAATGGAGAATGCTGTGGTCTGATTGATCATGTCCCCCTACCCCACATTTGTATGTTGAAATCCTAACCTCCGAGGTTGTGGTCTTAGGAGGGAGGGCCTTTGGGAAGTGATTAGGTTATGAGGGTGAGACCATTGTGAATTGGATTAGGGTGCTTATACAAGAAGCCCAAGAGAGGTCGCTTATCCCTGCCACCACGTGAAGACACAGAAAGCACTGTCTATGAAGAAGCAGGCCCTTACCAGATACCACGACATCTACTGGTGTCTTGATTTGGGACCTCCCAGCCTCCAGAACTGTGAAAAATAAATATTTGTTGTTTAGAAGATGCCCGATTTATGGCATTCTGTTAGAGCAGCCTGAAAGGACCAAGTCAGGCAGATAGATGGAGCTACAAACCAGCTTCTGAGAAACTCAAAAGATGAGTCAGAGCTGGGTGCAGTGGCTTACGCCCATAATCCCAGCACTGTGGGAAGTTGAGGCAGGAGGATGGCTTGAGGCTAGGAGGTCAAGACCAGCCTGGGCAACATAGATCAGTCTCTACAAAAACGAAAAACAAAAAAAAACTAGCCAGATATAGTGGGGCATACCTGTAGTCCCAGTTACTTGGGAGGCTGAGGCAGAAGGATTGCCTGAGCCCAGGAGGTCGAGGCTGTGGTGAGCCATAATCATGCTACTGTGCTCCAGCCTGGGTGACAGAGACTCCAACTCAAAAAAAAAAGAGAGAGAAAGAGAATAAATGAGTGAGTCAGACATAATTCCATGCCCTGGAGTTGCCAACACCCTGGGAGACAGCAACTGCCCTGGTCAATATGATTTGAGGCATCATGAGATCATTAGAGATGGGAAATAAAAGTCTGGGGCTCCAGGAAGAAGACTCTAGAATTCAGCAGAGGGGCCAAGGACCAACCTGTAAAACCAGGGTGATTGAGAAATTCATAGGAGGAAGAATATACTGTGGCCTTCCATGTAGCCGTGTTTCCATGCACATTATTTGCTATGGGGCATACTCAGATTTCTTTTTTACAAAATGATGCTTAGCCCCATGACTTACATGCTATTTTGTATTTAATTTCAACTGGTCTGACCTCTCAGTGCTGCAGCTTTCCCTCTAGAGACTGGGGATGGTCGCAAAATCACCTAGAGAAGACAGTGGTCAGGAGACTCAGAGAAGCAGCATGGACGAAGTGCTTAGCACATACTCAGCAATCAGGAATTAGGAATGAGTTCACAGAATGGTTACTCCAAACATTTTTGTCCCTCTAACAGAGCTGTGAATTGGGAGCCCCATATCCTGTATGCCAGGGGTTCCCAACCCCCGGGCCGCGGACCAGTACCGGTCCACACAGCAGGAGGTGAGCGGCAAGTGAGCAAAGCTTTATCTGTATTTACAGCTGCTCCCCATCACTCACATTACTGCCCGAGCTCCATCTGCTGTCAGATCAGCAGCAACATTAGATTCTCACAGGAGCGCGAGCCCTATTGTGAACCACGGGATCTAGGTTGCTGCGCTCCTTATGAGAATCTAAGGACTGATGATCCCTGCACTCCCCGCCATCTGTCTTCCACAAAACCAGTCCTTGATGCCAAAAAGGTTGGGGACCACTACTGCAGGCAACCAGGGGGCTGCGTTCCCCATCCATGTGTCACATTGTCCTTGCTGTGAGAACAGCAACCTGGCAGACCCTAACTTTGGTCTCGTTTGTGAATGTGCCTGACCCTTTGGCTGCCAGGATTAGTGTATTTCATGGAAATTCCAAGCACCGGCAGCGTAGATCCCAGTGCTCTGATACTGAGTGGTTTGTTTTTCCACACTGGTAGGAGATAATGGCTCCACCGTGTCTTTTTCAGCACTGAACAAAGCCATCCAGGACAAAAGTGGATACATGAGCAGGATTTGTAACCTGCTGCCCGTTCGGATCATGTCGTATGTGATGCTGCCCTGCACCCTGCCCGTTGAGTCTGCCATTGCTGCCGTCCAGAGGTGAGTAGTTCCCGTTGCTTGGTGTCTTCCTCCTAGGGTTGGTATGAGGACGCCATAAGATGACAGGTGTGGGACCCTCAGCCAGGAGCCTGGCTCCTCATACAGCAGGACGCAGCTCACAGTCTGTATGCAATGTCCCTAAAAGTTGCCCTCCTGTCCTCAAGCCACAGGCAGTTGTCACTCAGTGAAGCTCAGAAATTCCCCCTTCGGGGGGGGGGGCGGCTCCTAGAGCTGGCAGTAGCCTCGTGTGGCATCTGGTCCAGCCTCTCACAGTTGCCGGGGTGGGGGGACAGAGTTTGGAGTCACAGTTCTGAGTTCACAGTGCTGGCTAGTAGGAGGGCCAGGCTTAGAAGCAGGTTTTTGCTGCCTCTCAGGACTGCTTGCCTTTAACATCATGTGAGAATGGTAGAGTCAGGGAAGTCCATCTTTCATGCTAGCCATCGTTCTTTGATATGATTCGGACTCAGCAATTGGGAGATCCAAGTGTGATGCTCCTAGAACCCATCGATTGGGCTCCCTCTGAAACAAGGGGCAGAGAGGCCAACAGCTTGGCCCAGTAGTCAGACTGCCTTGGTTCAAATCCTGGCCGCACAGCTTACACAGCTGTGTGCCCCTGAACAACTGAATTGGCCTCTCTGCACTGCAGCTTCCCATCTAGAAAATGAGGATGGGTAGAGAAATCACTTAGAGCAGAAGGTGGGCAGGAGACTCAAGGAGGTGCCACGCACAAAGTGCTTATCACATAGCAAGCATTCAGTTAGGGATGTTGATTTCTGCTTTTTCAAATAATAAAGATGATAGCGAAAATTAGATGACAGATAAGAGTACGGACTTTAGAAATAAACCAGAACTCTGCAGTTTCTAAGCTGTGTGACCTCAGGCAAGTTACTCACCTTCCCGGAGCCTCAGTGTTGTCCTCTGTAATATCTGGATAAGAAAACCAACCTCAGTGGGTTGTCTGAAAATGAAAAGCACTTGATTTTTTTTTAAATTGTCCTGATTTATTGTAGAGATGAGGTCTCGCAGACCTCATCTCTACAATAAATCAAAAAATTAGCCGGGCATGTTAGCGTGTGCCTGTAGTTCCAGCAACTTGGAAGGCTGAGGCGGAAGGATCGCCGGAGCCCAGCAGATCGAGGCTGCGGTGGCCGGGAGCGGCCACTGCACTCCAGTCTGGGCGACAGAGTGAGACTCCAACTCAAAAAACCCCCAAAAAACCCCCCCCCAAAAAAAAAAAATTGTCCTGGTCTGACGGGGGGAAAAAATGAGCTAAGAGGCATCAGGAATGGGAGTACAGGGGCCTGCAGGGAGCCCAGTGAAGGGGGAACAAAGAGCCTGAACATCTGAGGAGGTGCGAGTCTCGCTATGTTGCCCAGGCTGGTCTCGAATTCCTGGGCTCAGGCAATCCTCTTGCCTCAGCCTCCCAAAGTGCTGGGATTACAGGCGTGAGCCACTGCACCAGGCTTGCTTTAGAGATTTTAAGTGGACTCGTCTTTGTTCTAACATCCCAAATCCACCTTCTGGGAACTCATCAGATTGAGGTTAGAGGTGACACCAGTAGCTTACCTGGACAAGGGGTACTGTTGTAAGATAACTGCTTTTGGATTAGTTTTTGTTTTGCTTTTTCTTTTTCAGCTTGTCTTCACACTGACACAATGAGTGTTCTCGTGTGTGTGTGTGTGTGTGTGTGTGTGTGTGTGTGTGTGTGTGTACCGTATATGTGCATGCATGTTGGTGGACTTGGTTTTTTGTTCCTACAGACTGGTGATGTGGCTTCCGGATATTCCTGATGACATCCAGTGGCTGCAGTGGGTGGCATCGCAGGTCTGTGCCCGAGTGATGATGAGTCTGCTCCCCACTTCCAGGTAAATAAGTTGGCTGTGGATGTGTGGGCCAGACAGGTACCTCGCATCTGATCAGGTCTCACACAATATCTGAGAAACTTTTGGCTGAGTGCTGGGTAGGTGGCAGGGAGAGGTCCTGTCTTGTGGCAAGCAACTGAGTCTGTCAGAAGTCCCAGTGCAGGCCAGGTACAGTGGCTCACACCCATAATCCCAGCACTTTGGGAGGCCAAAGTCAGAAGATTGCTTGAGCCCAGGAGTTTGAGACCAGTCTGGGCAACATAGTGAGACTTCACCTCTAAAAATAAATAAAGAAGTCCCCGTGTGCCTGCTGAATTCTGTAGCCTGGCCCACCTGCGCTGGTGCCTGTAAGCCTTCCCGTCAGGTGTGTGCATTTGAGCCCAGTGTTGATGACTGAAGTGGAGAGAGGTCACTGATGAGCAGTGCAGAGTGCCTTGGCGGAGGGGAAAGGATGAAAGTCGGGAGTATGCATTCTGGTATCCACAGCACAGGGAGGGGGAGGGGCACAGGGAGAGGAAGGGCCAGCCAGGGCTCCTCAGAGGCGTGGGCGGGAGGGGGG